TCAGGGTTGCAGGCCTCCTTGCTTGCATATGCCTTTTTAATTCTCCACAATTTTCTATTGGAATGAAGTCAGGGCTTTCTGATGGCCACTCCAATGCCTCCTGTTGTTCTCAAGCCATTTTGCCACACCTTTGGAGTGATTGTCCATTTGAAAGAACCATTTCCGACCGCGCATTAACTTCCCGGCTGATGTTTTGAAATGTTGCTTCAATACTGTATATCCACATAATTGTTCTTCCTCATGATGCCATCTATTTTTATGAAGTACACCAGTCCCTCAAACAAACAATTGTTGGAAAAATTACTTGTGTCATGGACAAAATAGATGCCCTTACAGATATGGCAAAACTATAGATAACATGAAATCTTCCAAGTGGTTACAAACGAGTTTTAAGTTTATGCAAACGTCTGACTTCAACTGTACATGAGGGGTTGAGTGTTTGCAGAGTGCTCTTTGTTTGCTCTGTCTGAGCTCAGTGTGAGATTTATGAATTTGTGAAACTAAAGGTTGGGATTGGAATAGATTGAGTTTAGAGTTTAGAGAGAACTCTTTTCGATTTCTCTGCCTGAGATCAAAAAGAGGCACAGAAGTTGAGAAAATCTAAGAATTATTTCAGAGCTTGATAGGAAGTCATTTGAAACTTAAAAGGAGAGTAATTTGAGATTTTGTGAGTCTTTTTCTCCTGGAGAAAAAAAAACTGAGGACAGGAGAAATAAGCTATGGTCTCATTTTAGGTTTCTCTCAGATCTCATAGCTGTCTAGGAGAAATAAATGAAACACCTTTAAGATCTCTTTTCTGATTTTCTTTTCCTCTGGGCAGTCTCCCCTTGTTATAATGAATCCAGTACTTTGATATTAGATAAAAAGGTCTTATTTTCTGGACTTTAAACAACAAATGTCCCAAAATGATTGGCCTTGTGTTGAGAAATGTATGGGTGTAGCTCAGTGGTAGAGCATTTGACTGCAGTTCAATAGATTCCCAGTTCATTTTCTAAAAACACGCTGTATAAGGCTTTCGTGGTTCAGACCTCGTTGACTTTTCTTTGACTGGACACTGAATGCCATAATTGCTCCCAATCAGTGTTCAGCAAAAATTGAATTGCTTCAGACAGCAGCCTCTGTGGCGTAGGTTTAGTAACAACATTTGCCAATTGTGAGTCAGAAGACAAAACAAGTCTAATAAAGGTTCTCAGTCAAGACTGGATACAGCTAACTAAAAGGTCAAAGTCAAATCTGATATAATTTTGAGCGCAGCAGAGAGGTGTAAAATCCAAGCAGAGTGCAGCATCTCAAGGTAACACTGCTATAAGGTCCGTCGTCTTTGCTTTCTCCGTTGGAAAACGATGACTCATGCAAAGTGATACTGCAGCTCATCATGTGTAGAGAGATGCTTGCTCAGCAAAAAGTATAAATTCTTGGCTTGGCCTGTTCTTGGCTTGCTGATATTTTCTGAGTGTTTCTCTAAACATGATAGGATTGGCCCCTATGTCTATTTTCTCATGCTGCACCACGGTTATCAGAGGACCAGTGGCCTAATGGGTAAGGCACCAGCCTCCAAAGCTGGGAATTGTGGTTTCAAATCCTGCCAAGTTATACAGCATTAGGGAAATGTTATGTGATGTTCTCATGTTAACTTATGAAGGAGTGAAAGGCAAAACCCCTGGCTATTTATCAAGTCTTATCTTACATGGATAATCATGGTGATACATTACGTCTTCACCAAATGTTTCTGTTTGATATACTCTTGCGTCTATAGAGATATAGTGGCGTTTGCTTCATAATCAACCTTCAACTAGTAGGTCACCTCATGTCCATTCATTTCCCAAACAGCTGACTGACCAGAGAAGAAAACATCTGTGGACAATCATCAGTGTCTCTGGCCAAGAAAAGTCGGTCACAGCTTGTTTTTTTTCAGCTGGCAGTCACTTCTCCACTCTCCATAGTTTCCCTACTGATATAATGTGTTTTTTCACATAAAAATTCTGCCAGTTTAAAATGGACGAGAAGTAGATTCCAGACTTCCAAAGACATCCTCAGCTTTTTTTTTACTTCACAGTAATAAACATCTCAAAAACAATGTATGGAGATGGTTTCTGCCCATTACTGTAGTCAGCTGCAAGCTTTTTAAAGGAGTTTTCCTTAATTTAGATTATAGCTACTTGATTTGTGCCTGTAACAGTAGCTCATCATGTTAACAAAACAATGAAATATTGTGAAATCCAATGCAAAAAGTCCCTCCAGCATGAGTTTTACTGTTCTTTGGTTTCAAATCATGTCACTCACACAACAAAACACAGAATGTGGGGAAATATTGCTCTGGAAGGGCTTTTAGATGGCGATGATGTTCCAATGTTTCGTGTTTGTTCATACCGATTGTAAATATTGAGGTCACTGTCTAATAAGATTTGAGTAAAGACAAGACATTATTGTGTTCTGTTGGCTGGAATGGAGTCCGCTCCATCTGTCATACTAACTGTTTTCATAGGAAAAGCAAAACATAAGGGCAGCAAGATGGCGGACGTCCATAATTTAATCAACATCCCACGCCAAGTCTGCTGCCCTTATTCCTTCTGGCTCTCTCCTCTGCACGATTTTTGTAATCCCCTCCCTGCTTTGGACTGCACTCATTTTCCTGATAGATGTACTGACTGATGGCTTTACTGGTCCACAGTAGCCTATATGTGGATGGATTGCCGAATTGTTTGACCATAACTGATTAGCTGACCGGAGAAGAAGAGATTAAGGAGGCTGCGGACCATCCCTCTGTATACATCTTCTTTCTGGCTCTCTCCTCTGCGCTGTTACTGGCTGTCAGTCAGTGACCTGAAAACTCCTCCAAGGCAGTGTGCGGAGACTCAGCTCATGATGCAGGGAAACAAACCGAGATACTGCATCGTTTCCTTTTACCTCCAAGGGAAATAATGTTTACGATCTTGCAGAGTTGATAGTGACACGTTTTCAGAGAGGCGTCATATTTTAAGCGGGTAAACAGACGCCAGAACCTTTTTTTAAGGGCTCTGGGGATATGTGAGTGTTGTCGTCTGGGAGCCAGAGAAAGTCTGAATTTTCTTTTCTATTTTCTGTTTTTAAATACATCCTACGACTTCAGCTCAGTGGCCCAGTTTGGTACACTTGTCATCTCTTATAGACACGCTGGAAAACCACATACAACCGTTTCATTCTTTGTACATCTCTGCGGACTGGATTACATTTGCAGGAATCAAAATGGGGCACTCCTTTGGCACTTTGAAATTCTTTGTCTGACAATGTTTTTGTATATATTTGATCATTTTGATTTATGATTTCTGACCCAGTGGCCTAATGGATAAGGCATCAGCCTCCGGAGCTGGGGATTGTGGGTTCAAGTCCCACCTGGGTTGAAAAGCATCACATTTAATGTTTCAATCTCACATTAATATCAAAAAGTTGTCTTACTTGTCACTTACCATTTGGGTTCACCGGCGCCCTCAGATGGTTGCCAAAGGGAAGAAACCATTTGAATTTCAAGACCGAGCAATTTCATTTAATACTTTGGATGTTTAAGAAATGAACCTGCTATTTTGGAATCTAAAATGTCGCTCACAACGTTCTTTAAAACATTCTCCATATAAAACTGCGAAGGTCATAATAAGCATTGAACATTACTAGGTGGGCTACTGCCATGATGGATGGTCTCTGTGGCCCCCAGAGGCCAGTTTGAGCACTGTAGTTATGCTTCATAGAGCAGAACTGTCATTATGGTTTACAGCCTAATAAAATATCAATTACAGTGAAAATGGGAACTTCCAAATATTGAAGAATCCCCTGAGGATTAGGGCTCATTTCCAGAGTGAAAAAGATGAGCAGGAGAGAGGAGAAGTTAATGAGACGCAGAGGAGAACAGGGAAGATTGAAAGGAATGATAGATAGATAGATAGATAGATAGATAGATAGATAGATAGATAGATAGATAGATAGATAGATAGAGTTAGTTTGTAGAATCTAATCAGACTTCTAAGAATAAACCCTCTTTGCCCTATTTTTGTTTACAGATCACAATGACTCATGAGCATCCAGCCACAGGGAGGGATGCCAAGCTCTGGCACCTGCTCCCAGTCCCTTTGAGAATATTGCTGTTGATAATAAAATCAGCTGAAAAGAAAAATTGCCTCTCCTCGGACGTGGTGATTCATAGACCCCAAAAATAACCAGTTACACTCTGAAAAGCGGCTTGTGAACGAGAACATTAAACCTTATACCTGCAAACCTGCGAAAGTGTCTCGTGAAATCAGGTGCCAGAGGACGAAGCGTTACCTCGGCTGCAGCTACTTATATTTCCACAAGAGGGAGCTGTCAGTTAGAGACTGATGCACTGTGCAAATGGAGCAGTTTTTAGACGTGCTGGGATTAATGGCGCTGCTGATACAGACTGAAGTAGCTCAGCAACCATTGGATAAACTGCCATGAAAGTTTGTACAGACATTTATTGTCCCCAGACGTGCATCCAATTTTCCTCTAGTGCTACCTGCAGGTCAACTTTATCCCTTGTCCTCAGAAATTTCTTAACATGTACTTCATTTACTGGCACAAAATTTGGTGCAGAGATTCATGATTCCCAGATGATGCATCCTACTGATTTTGGTGATCTTCGACATTTGCTCTTATGCCACCATAAGGTTGATATTTGTGTTTTTTTGTGACATATCTCAGCAATTATTAGACGGATTGCAGTGACATTTGGGACAGATATTCATGCCAGGAAAAACTCTAATAACTTGGATGATCCCTGAACGTTTCATGGTGTCATTAACATTACCTAGTATCGTTTCAATTATTTTGAACATGTTAGCAGACTGACATTAGCATTTAGCTCAAAGCACTGCTGTGCCTAAGTACAGACTCAGACAGCTGCTAACATGGCTGTAGACTGGTCTTGTTGTATTTCATACTCACTCCCTGCCAAACATGCCAACAAACACTGTACATTGCAAATTTGATTATTAAAACAGATGCATATTTTATTATGGGAAAATGCTTCAAGTTCAGTATCTTCGAAATTTAGATGATTCAATTTGAAAAAGGGTGGATTACATTCATTTTGTGCAAAGTACCTCCTATTGTGCACTATCATTACATTTCAGTCAATTCTGAAAACTGAGCTTTTCTTAATAATTTCATAGAACATTTGAGCTTAATTCTTTTATTTGAGTCCTGTTATCATTATGACTGATATTTTATTTTATTTTTGTTATTTTGGCATGTTTCCTGTTACTGTATATAACTTTATAAAATCAGTTATGAAAGGTGCCACATAAATATTATTTACTGTATCACTTCATGACTTTAGAATGAAGCCTTTCAAACTTTACCATTTTGCTGTACGGCTGAGAAGCAATCTCAAATCATCTTCCAGTGCGTTTTATCCTCATTTGGATAATGTCTTGAGTTTGCACCAGGGTGACGAGGATATCGATGTAGAAGAAGATCCTCAATGACTCAGGGGGCGCTGATGACGTGCTTGATCCAGTCGGTGAGTCTGGTGATGCGAGTGTAGACGCCATAGTAGTCTGGACGCCCACAGCCTTTGCCCCAGCTCACCACTCCGGCCAGGAACCAGCGACCCGACGGCTCCTGGCAAACCAAGGGGCCACCGGAGTCTCCCTGACAGAGACAATCAATGTTAAAGGAGCAGGGAGTGAGACTCTAATGGCTCCACAGCAGAAAATGACCATAATAATTGACAAAGCTGATGGTCAGTACTGGTGACTCAGCTATGACATCACCTGGTGCTTGGATGTCTGGCTTTCAAACTCATTCATGACCTTTTTCTGGGGAACACAAATTCACATTTACATTTAAATGCAATACCTGCCAGGGTCTGTTGGATGGTTTAAAATTTTAATTTCTTTCATTAAATCAGTTTTAATTTTGCCTTCTGGCAGATATAAATCCAAAAAGATAAAGCGGGACACATATACCCTGAGTGGATCATTCTACTCATCACACACACACTGACATTTAAATTTCAGTGCATTCATTTACTTTTTTTGGACACTTGGTGGCAGCACAACAACCTCTAAACACAACACTGACAGACAGTATTATCACCTTACGGAGGTGAGTGTGTTAGCAAACAGCTGCCTTTTTTAGACACCTATCAGATACAGAGCAACATTAGCATATGGAGTTGTGTTTGTTTCCACCCATCAAATACAACTCCAATACTCTCCATTTATTCAGCTCTATTTTGATTCCCAACTCCTGATGTAAATATCTGGCTGTTCAGCAGCTAAATACTCCACTATGTTCATCAACTGGTCTCTAATTTTTCCTGCTGGGTGCTCGTTTTGACAAGTGACTTTTTAGAGCTTTTTCACTGAAAGCAGGTGTCTGCTTCAGCTCCTGAGACCCTGCATCCTCATATGAGGACATGCTTCACCTGCACATCGCTGCACCTTGTACTTCATTCTGCTTAACTTAGACCTGTTGTCCTCATTCACAGACACTTTTGCTACCAAATAGTGGTAGCAAAAGCACAATACACTTATCAGTGTAAAAACAAGACGGCGGCCATCTCAGCCAAGTCACGCTACAGCCGATCGCGAAACAAAAAGTGAACAGAGTACAAAACCTTATCAAATTTTATGGTTAAAACTTCATTATTTATACTCAGTAATGTCTTTAGTTTGATATGGTATGGGAATTTGACAAATCTTAGCAATAGTAAGAAACTACAACGTTGTTAAACATGAAGTACTCGTTTGAGGACATTGGTATTTTATTACTGTTCATTCAGATCATTAGATGTAGAAGTAAGGAAACATAGCTTAAGATTTGTGAAGAAACCAACAGTTTACAAGAGTATAAATAGTTCTTGCATGTCCTACAAATTAGTATGACATTGATTTGTATTTTTCTTTATCTAATGTGATACATTTCCAGGGTATTATTTCATATTGATTCATTCATATTTCATGTGTCAAGAGCAGGACAGTTGCTGAATGTAATATTAGGTGACAACTTTGAGGTGGAGGATTTGTCTGATGGTGATGCTGATGATCCTGTTGTGGATGAAGATTACATTCCACCTGAATATATTCACCCTGACCCAGAATCTAATCAGCAGATGACAGTGACGGTGAGGCACAACTCCGTCCACATGCATCTAAACATGTACAGAGATCTAAAGGACGTATTCTCAAAGGCTGGGGTTTGGGAGCCTTGGTCGGTCTGGTTGCTGGTATAAAAGTATATTGTGATTGGATCTTTACAAGCATGAAAGCTGTGGATTATATCCTGAAGAAGCAGGTGTACCTGACTGGTATTAGTGGTGAGTTTTCCTTGCTCCATACTCCACACTAGGAATGTGCTTTTGTCTGTTACACCTATTGACTGTATGAATACGTCGTCTAGATCTCTGTAAATGTTTAGATGCATGTGGACAGAGTTATGCCTCACTGTCACTATCATCTGCTGATCAGATTCTGGGAAATTAACTATTTTATCATTTGCTACACACTGGTGATTTTACTGTATTATACAGTGCAATCAGTACAACCATAACAATAAATGTGCAGGCTGGAAAACCAAAAAAGTCAGTTTTATGATGCTTAAAAAAAATGGAATGGAAAAAAATAGCATTATATCTTTTGTTTGTTGTATGTATTGTATGTGTTTTTTCTGTACCTGACAGGCATCTTTCTCTCCACTGCGGTAACCGGCGCAAAGCATTCTGGGAGTGACCAAGTGGCCATAGGAGCGAACACAGGCTTCCTCGCTGACCAGGTGAACATCCACCTTCTGAAGCACGTTACTGGCACTGCCTGGAGGAGGTCAGAGGGGAAAGGTCAACAGGATCATCCTCTTTTCATCCTTTATTTGTACAGTAGAGATGATGCATTCACATAAAGCCTAAAGTCTGCATTCATCTGCCCTGCGTTCATTTGATTAGTCTACAACAAGCCGACACTGATGTCTTCACTGCTCAGTTTTGACTCACCTACTGAATGTCATTTCCATATTTCCACAGTGAAATGTCACAGACTGCAGTAATAGACTTCACAGCTTTAACTGAACTCAGTCTGTAGTTAACCCAGAAAAACATCCTCTAAAAGTCATGTCAATTTGTACATGAAACTTTGGGTGACCGAAGATATGATTTCAACACATGTTGGCCTAAAGCAGCCTTAGCCATTAGGTTCGTCATGATACCAGATACCAGAAACCACAACCCACTCACATCACTCTATCTTCTCCTGTCTGTACAATTTTAATTAGTTAATTTCATAAATGTTTGCTCCATTGTCATAACAGCATAATAGCACCCACTCTGCTCCACCATCTGTAACATCACAAAAACTCCCCACATATTTCTTTCAGAGTGACTCTGAATAAATTGGGCTTTTTAAAAACTGCACAAGTCATATAAGGTCACTTCCTGTGAAAAAAATGCATTAATTTGCGTAATGCAAAAGCAAGTGGAACAAAAGTTTTACACTCCCCCCTAACTTTATAAGATAACAACATTTTTTGTGAGTCAAAAGCACCAAATAAAAGGGCACTTTCAAATTGTAAAGACTACATAGTTATTTTAAGTGTCTCTTTACGAGGCGTGATGTTGTGTTGCCTTACGCCTACACATACCAAAGCCTGAGGTTAAATGGAAATTTTTATAATGCAGGTTTAAAAAAAAATCTAATTCCTTTACCTTTTGCAGATGCAAGCTTTGTAACATTACAAGTCTTTGCAAATAGTTTGGGGATTTGTTGAAGTTTTTACTGTGAGCATAGAAATATAAATTATCATGATGTAAAGATTAGCATTTGAACTAAAAATTTAATTGTTGTAAAAACCAAGCTAGTTTGTTTCTTCAGCTAAAGTGTTAAAAAAGAGTTCTGATAACTAACTTAATTACAGTGTTACTGTAATTAAGTGTGTCACACTTAGCCTTGTGTTTCTTAATTGGAAACACTTTACACATCGCTAAATTTAAAGGGTTGGCACTACACAAAGTAGTTCTAACATAGAGATGTTATTAAATTAAATATTTACACCCACTAAATGGTAATTGTAGCTGTGTGTGGCTAAATGAACTGACAAAACTTTAGCTTGCTAATATAGGCCTACCTGTTACGATAGAAAAGTAAAAGTGCAAATATGCTTATAATCATGTTAAATGGTAAAGTTTTAAATATGATCTTACAAAAATAAGAGTTTAAAAAACTGCAAAAACATTATGCTAATAACATCAGACTATAACATCAAAATAAATAACTCAATAGCATAGGTTAGCATAATCAGATATTTGTGTCTTATTCTAAACAGCATGAATACTATTAACCCTGAAACACATATTTGTTCACGTCTGCCAATATAAATAAAATTGTAATTGGCTTTTAAGTCTAATAAATTGCTCAACCTCTAAAAGTCTTAATGTAATTTTGCTAGTTATGCTCCCGGTAGTGACGCTACAATGACTTTCTAATTACACAGTTGATTGCTTTTGATTGGACGGCACTAAAGACGTTTCCTAGCAACCGATTTAGATATTAAGACAGTCTTTAAGTTGTAATGGCGCGACCTGATCAAATAAATCACTAGTTTGAAGCTAGCTGGTAGATACTAGCATTGCTAGTAGTAATTGTGGTTTTAATACTAAGACCGCATGTCTATCCTCTCTCCACATCACCCAAAGATCCCCCTCTCTCTTTCCCTCCTCACCCCCCTCACGGAGAGCCCCCCAGCCAGTGACCCAGCAGAGCAGGCCCGGCTCCAGCTGGTGGGTAGGCGGGGGCAGGCAGGCGGGTCGGGCATGTCCAGCCAGCAGCACTGAGGCGGGCCGGTCCAGCTTCAACAGGGCGAGGTCATAGTCGTGGGACTCGTCGTCGTAGTATTGGTGAAGATGGATCCGTTGAACTCGCGCCACCTCCTCTGTGGAGCCGCTGCGTCTGAGGAGGAGTTTACCCAGGTAGACTGTCCACATCGAGGGGGAGTAGAGACTGTAGGAGCAGGAGGAGAAAAAAGACTCACTCTCTATTTTACAATCAAAAGCCTCCTCATCCAAAATTGAAGATTCACTGAACGCTGCACAAGCTTTTAATCGCTGCACAGGAAAAATGAAGTAGAAAAGTCTTGTTAATCCTATACAGGATGCTGCAGTTATAGTTTTGGCCGGGATCCAGCCAACTGATTCTGGCTTTGAAAGACACAAGAGTATATAAATACATAAATATGTTGGCTTTGAGCCAGACAGGCCTGGACAGCAAAGACACAACAGCAGTACTGAACATAAAGGAGTTTTGGAGGAAAGAGAAAGGCATACATGATTTATAAAAAAGTGCTAATATGCTAAAACTGCTTAATCAGATTCAGTGAAGAGAATTAAAGGCTTTTAATTTTTGCTCGATTAAGTGCCTCAGCTTATGTTTGTTTTGGAAGCACTTCAGCTACAGTCATCCAACCACTTCCTCCTCTCTCTTCCTGCACCTACCGGTCGTCATAGAAACAGTGGGCGGCAGACACCACCCACTGGCTGGAGATCAGTGCCCCCCCACAGATGTGGGAACCCCGCACCTGCAGGCTGGCCTGCCATGGCCACTCCCCCTCCGAGGCGTTAGTCCCGCCGACAATACGACTGGAGAACTGCCTCAGGCCGCAGTCTGAACACACACACACAAATATTAAAACACACAGATGCTAATATGGACAGCGAGTATTTGCTAAATGCAGAATATGAACTGTAAATGAAATCAGCTGAGTTGTACTGAAAAACAATTAGAAAACAAGACCAAAATGCTTGTGAGGGTTACTGAAAAAAAGTTCACGTATTATGTGTGTTGTTTTGTGTGTGTGCATATTTATCATTATTATAATTATATTATATCTAGTATGTCTAATTCTTCTTACACCCAGCGGGGATACAAAAGAAAAGTAAATAAAAACATGAGATAAAGAACAGAGACTAATCTTATCAGATTTTGTTAAATTATTTAATTCCATTTTTATTAAAAAGCAGATTGACTTTGAATTTAGGAAAATCTCGAAAGAGAGCATGAAGGCATCTTAAAATTTAAAAAATGTAAAGTCAAAATACAGACAAAATTGAATGAAACCAGTATAAAAACAAAAACTCAGTGTGTGTGTGTGTCTCACCACACTGTTTTTCATCAGAGGCGTCCGGGCAGTCGGTGACAGAGTCACACTCTGGGTTTGGCTTCTTCAGACACGTTCCATCAGCACACACATAGGTCTTATCTGTGCACTGCACACCTGAACACACACACACAAATCATAAGACAAGATATATAGGTCTGCCATAAAAAGAAATCTGCTCCATTGCAGCTGTAACAGATGTCTTTGCTGCGTGTCCCAGAGCCATGACCTCTACAAAATATTCTGTACAGTAGATCGTGATAAAGTTACCATTAGTACAGTTCATCTCGTCTGAGGCTTCAGGGCAGTCCGGGTGTTGGTCACACACCTTGTAGTAGTCCACACATTGGCTGTCCTCTTGACACTGGTACTGAGCCGCACACACTGAAACACACACACACACACACACACACACACACACACACACACACACACACACGTAATACATGTCCATATATTTGATAACATTCAGTCATATGAACCAAATTATTGAGTGAGTTGTCAGTGTATAAATGGGTAACCAGATACAGTGCATGCTAGCACATTAGCAAAGAATTCTGAGGTGTTTATATCACATGATAAATGCTTTTACTCCCTATTAAATAGTGATTAGTGGCTACTCCATGACCTAGAAATATCTATACATAGAAATAGGCCCATCAAATCAGATTAGCATCAGCATAAGGCAGCTTGTTTTCATGAGCAGCAGCACGGTGACAAGCCTCATGTTACATGTTTAAACAGTTCAGCCCTTAGCCATTTCCGTTACATAAAACTGGATTAGGTGTCACAAGTGGTATCACAAGTGGTGTGGTGGAACACTGTGGTTTGGTTCACCCCTGAAAACCCTGTGTTGTTGTATCACAGTGGTCACAATTCATCCATTATGGAAAAATCTAAAATAAGCTCAGCATTATTTGACTGAGTAAATTGCTTTAACATATAAATGCACCAGGCGCCACTGACTTTAGGTGGCTGTCGTTCTTCCTGCACCACCATGTCTCAATTTTCTGTCTCAACAGAAAACAATGTACAACAAATTATGTGTAAATCAGTTAATTTAAAGCATAAAATAAATACCACAGTTTCTCTCATCAAGTCCATTGGGACAGTCCTTGATTCCATCACAGGCAGGAACACATAGGCCATTAATAGTGCACAGAAACTGGCCTGGGCAAGCTACGAAACACACAAACACACACGCAATTAAATAATATGCTCATGAACAGACGTGAAACAAAGTAGAAACATTAACTTAACAGTTAATTTAGCCAAATGCCTTGGCTGTCTCTCTCTCTCCTGCATCCACATCTTACGATCTGTAAGGTTGAAGACGCTGAAGCGCAGCTGAAGGCCCGGCCCTGTGAGTGACACCTCGGACGTCATGACAACAGTTGCTGTCGTGGAGAGCAGGTAAAGGCGTTCGCTGTATGGCTGCAGACCCCTGGTACCACACAGTCTGAGAAAGGGACAGAGACGCTGAAATCAAATGGAAACTCCAGTTATGTTTCCCTGCAGGGGCAACAGGAAGTCTGTGGTGGAGGACCACAGGTGTGATAAGTGTTGTTTAAATAACTTAAGCAAAATACTGGACTCTCTGTTTGGTCATGGCTGCAATTACAAACCTTTCCTGGATAAACAGAGGTTAAAAAGCACAAATTTATCAGTTTGAAAAGAAATAAATAAGTAAAATGCTTCTATTGAAATAAAGAAATTGGCCACATATGGAATGCTGCTGCCCCCTGTTGTTCAGTATGGAATAGAACAACATGATCATATGAACTTAACATTTTGAACACAGTATTTTTTTTTTTTTTACTGTTAATTAAGTCATTTTGTGTTTTTTAATATATGATAAAACAAACTGAAATGTCTGCACATCATGACCTGAAAATTTTAATATGCACCAATTTTTCTGTCAGACACCGAACCACACACAGGTGACATCTATAAATACACATTTTGCAGTTGATCAGTATCTTGTCTATATGTATAAGTAAGTCGGCACATATTGAAGGATTTTTATATATAGTTTGTGTCAGTTATTCTCTTTCAGAGGTTTAGCACCTGTGCGCTACACAGATAAAAATCCTCAAAAACATGTTTATCAGTGAGTCACACAATTATGTGCTGGTACAGAATTCAAATAACACTGGACAGATGTATTTTCTGGTGAATGTGTGCAACTGTGCAATTGATTAGGTTTTCTAATAATTGGAAATTTGACCAACTGGAGTCGAGAATCTTCTGAGATAAAAATGTAGCTAAAATTGACTTCTAATCTGCTTTGCTTTTATTTTCTGCCCCCTTCTCCCATTTGGCTGTTGTCAGTGTTGCTCTCAGATTTCAGTCTCAGTGAGGCTCAGGATGCTGCTCAACCAAACAATTAGGACTAATCAGACTGGACCGAACAAAGATGCTCGACAGCCGACAGTTCCCATGGATCAGCAAGACTCATCATGGCGGAGCCTACCTGCGGTTATGGATGATCCACTGTCCCTGGGTACAGGCTTGGTTGTAGCTGGCTCTGCTCAGTTCGTAGCCCTCAAACTCCAGAGACAGGCCCATCCCTACACTGGGTATCTGAACACACACACAGGGCAGGAAATGCAAAATACAACGAGGAGCAAACACATGCAAACACCTACACACACACACACACAACTCTTAAAACAGTTGTGCATCAATGCAACAATCATTGAATCAATCAGGAAGTGTAAGACATATGGATGACAGAGTGTATTTACGATAAAGCTCCAGGTGCAGTTGGTGTCAGGGGGGTAGTAGCTGGGGAAAAAAGGCGTCCTCAGTGTCCCCTGGACCCCTGATACTGGCTTCAGCTCTATAGTGGAGTTACAGTCTGGGAAAGAAATAAGCAGAGAGAAATACTTCAATCCACAATACAAATCCATTCTACAGGATGGAAAATATAAGACACGAAATCAGAGGAAAATGTTAATCTTGAACTCTGCGGCATCGAGGCCTGGGATTGACCGATCTCCATTTGCTACTGAGAACAGAACCTGCTGGTTTTGCTAACTAGGCTATATTGGGTTTTTTTTTGACTAGGCTGTATTTATGGCTGAGTTTAGTTAAACTTAAGTGGGTGCAGCTACCGAATAAACACTAAATGGAAAGATTTACAGCTTTCCTCCAATCCAAAACAGAAAGACCATGCATGACAGTGATGGAAGGTCAGCTCAGCTGGCTAGTTTGCAAGCTTCCTTACACAAGGAATGTCAGCTGGGTAAACTAATGGAGATATCTTTGTAGCCGATCGCAAGGTAATATGTTTAACCATGCTAGTGGCATGATCTCAGTGTTGGTCTTTTTCTCAGTCTACCGCTTTGGTCCAGCCCGAGTTATCACAAAAACCATTGAAGTGTTTGGTACAAAATTTTGTTCAGATGTTTGTGTTTCCCAAATGACGTATCCCACAGAATTTTTTGATCCTGGGACTTTCCCTCGATTGCTTCCATGTGATATACATTTGTAGTTTTGTGGTTTTCCCTCTTACACCTTTTACTTGGCTTTAATCTAATAATAGAAAAAAATCTGTGGTCATTTCCCACTGAAGTTGAATTTAACAAATTTTCTCTCTCCTTTATGCAACATCGAATGCAACATTTTTGAACTAGTTAAGAAGGCCTGAGCGTTTAGGTGGTCTCACCCTGGCGGTCCCAGGCCTGTGCAGACAAAGAGAAGGGGTCCTTGTAGTTGTACAGACCCTGTTTCCAAACCACCGTCATCCACTCGCCTGAAGACAGGACATTGACCACACGCTCATGTCTGCTGCAGCCATACACACTGGAAGGACAGAGGGAACGATGGACAACAGGAAAGACAGTTGGTGTGTTTAATAAATAAAGAGGGTAAATTTATCCCTTACACAAGATGAGAACATTTCTTTAAAGGTGGACAATAGTGGCCCATCAATATTCAGCAGAGGGCAGGTATTGGACTTATATAGTAATTATCTAATTCTGTGTAGGAAACTCACGATGTGATGAGATGAGTATCAGTGGGGGTGAGGGAGTTGTACACCGCCAGCCTGTCTCGACACTCTGGCAGCAGCCACTCCATTTGAAGCTCCAGCTGGGAGCCGGGGGCAGCCTGGAGGTGCCACAGGCAGGAGGAACACTGTGTGTCCGGGCCACGGAGAGCCATGGGGCTTCTGGACACCACCTTCTGGTAGCGGTAACAGTCTTAGGGAAACAATGCCAAAGAAATTATTGTAAGCACTGAATTAGTCTTGTGTAGGATCTGAGTTGAGGATTAATAGCATCATGTTAAAGTACATTTTGCCATGATTTTACATATGTAGTTACTGAATTGTTCTAGCTTTCAAATGTATCTGTATGTTGAAGCAGTGTACCAGGGCTGTAGTAAGAGAAATATTCAATATATCATGAGTTTGGAGGGTGGTGTCTTTTTAGAATAAATTGCATTTGCTATATAAGAACACAAACAAAAGTACAAGGAATTTATTAAACAGCGCGTTTGTCTACTCAAGCTGTGAATTTTAGCATACTTGGCTAACTAGCTTATTCCCTGCAAACCTATATTTCTTTGAAGGCCATGAGGTAGCTATCATTGCCTACATTTTGTTTTCTTTCATTCATTACGTTAGAGGGAGTCGTCACTATGAGGGAGCTAGTGCCAAAGGTTTAAGCTAATGATAGCTTTGGTTTAAACTGATGATAGTGGCTCTGCTGTGCTTTGTATTTGATTTGGGTAAATTTGCAAATTATACTAAATTTAACTTTATGTAACTTTAATGTTTGTGGCTTAGTGATTCTAACTTTCTACCTATAAAAGCCACCACCATTACCATTACCCACATGGCCAAGAGTTAGCATATCTTAGCTACCTCTGTCTTTTTGTTAGATTTAGGTGACATTTTAAAAAGCCTAGCTGATGACTGACACATGCACCATATGGGAACAAAGATGCTAGCATCGGAGGGCTTAAGCTATCACCTGTCCTGCTTTACCACACGCATTTTAGTGGGTATACTGCAGGTTTGCTACCACCCAGTTTTGGTGCAGTTCTCACCTGGGAACTGATTCACCTGGTACCCTAAAGATGTTCTTTAATCCAATAGTTCAATCATATATTATCAATATGTTTTACTCCTTCCGTTTTAAAAATGTAACACGTTTACTCAGAGTACATTTTCGCTGACTTACTTGCTTTAGTGACTTTCTTCATTTCAGATGTTGTTTAGATGCTATTCCGATCTGCTAGTTTCTTTAGCTTAGCAGTTAGCGCTAGCTTCTCTCTCTCGCGCGCGGTGTGTCTTGGACCAGCAGATGAACTTGTTCATCAGAGTGTGGTGTTGTTGTAACTTCATTGTAGAAGATTATGAAGTTTATTACAACTTCCTGGTGTCTGCTGTCTTACCGTCGACACACAGCTCGGCTAGCTAACCTGAGCTGCTCTTGTCTGCGACCGTCTGTGTACACAGCAGCCTTCAGTGTGATAGGCTATTATTCGTGACGTGGCACCAATCAGATGGTGCCGTGGGCGGGACGCCGCGACACATGTTTGTTGAGTTTACTGTCCGATCTCCAGAAACGGAATGCAGAACTGCAATTTCTGTCACAAAACTATGTTGTTTCGTATCCTTGGGCATTTTTAAGTGATTAAACGGATATTCTGGCGCCTTCTTAGTGGGTATACGGCGTACACCTGCGTATCACGTAGACTACACCACTGCCACAAGCTGAAATTTTCATAGTGAATTTCACCAATAAGTGATATCCTATTTTGAAATGCAAGATAATGCCATTAATTAAGATATAAATAACAGTCTTAAATGTCTCATATTGTATGACAGTACAGTTTCTCATCTATCATCTTATAATGAAATCAAACATAAATGCATTCTAGTTTCTGCAGTTGCTTCCATGCATTCAAGTTTTGTTCAGGGAAATATATATTGTGGTGCATGCTAATTACAGTTTAATCACGATGAAGAAATTAAAAAAAAAAAAGAGAACTCATGAACAAGAAAGAAAATGAAAATGAAGTGTGATACCAAATGAAGCTTTCAAAAGTTCTATAACTTTGGAGTCGGTTTCTGTGGGGAGAAGAACAAAAACACAGAAAAGATGAATCGAAGCAAAATAAATATCAAGCACTAAATCTCTTTGTATCTCACTGTTTTTCTTTTTTTCTTCCCCTTATTATTTAATTTCTGTCTTACACATATACATACATATACATATACATCACACACACACTGTCTCTCCCTCTGGTCTCTTCTATTTCTCTCACCACTGACAGACAGCGAAGGGAGGTGGAGGAGGTATCCATCAAAGCTGGCCAGCTCCTGCTTCTCTGACTCTCTGTACCCCCGAAGGTCCTCCTCCAGGCTCCTGGTGACCTTCTTCAGTGTGACTCTCCCAACATGGCTGCTTGGCACAGACATCACTATCCAGAAGTGAGCCACAACACTCCCCTCCCTGCAGAAGCAAAGGTCGTGATGGAGAACCAACACTCACATTTTCAGGTCTTATTGAGGCGATTTGGTGCTTTATTTCAAGTTATGACTGTTGCAGACTTGGATTTTACTTGAAAAAATACAGCCCACAACCACAGACCTGAATATAGGGTACAAGCCTTCAACACAGAGTTTACTAAACTAAATTTTCAAGCATATCTTTTTCATTGATACAATACTCTAAGTAAGCTCAACTGAGTTCAAAATTATCTGCATGAATTTTTGAATCCAATCCGGTCAGAAAGTGAGTTCAAACTAAGTTTGAACCAGGGACCACTTGATAAGCTATACCCACTTATAGAACATGGTCCTCACACTTATTAATTAGCAAAGCATTGATTACAGAGCATAATAAATTGAATGAATCATCAAAAAATATCAGAACAAGTGCATCTTACTCGTCTCTCTCTGGCTAAAGGCATCCACTATCTGCCAAGATGTTAGCACACCTAAGAATTTACTGTATGCAAGTTATGTCACTCCCACTTTGCCACTACTTCCCACAGTTACTATTCAACTGTACATGAAAAAGTTTGATCCGCGTACCCGAAAGCAAAGATGGTGGTGTAGTTGAAGTATCGAGAAAGACTTGAGCCTTTCATTATTTTCTCAACCTGAAAGATAGAAGAAAAAAAAACAATATCACCTTCCCTATCTTTTTGTTTTTGTGTTTTTCCAGGTAGTTTAATGTAATTTGTTTTCAGTGACATCTATCTGGAAGGATAGAAAACATTCTCCACTCTGCAGTCCCTAAAAGGATGCGAGCCAAGTTATTCTAGTGTACTGTACCAGTATCAAAGGAATTCATGTCCCCCGCTCACCATGGCCTTTACTCCCCTGGCCTCTTTCTTGAAGGCAGGGCTGTTGTGAGAGGACAAATCAGCAGAGAAGTTCCTGTTGAGGATGGTTACATGGGCTGTGTACTGCTGCTGGACACGAGGCTCCAGCACCCAAACCTTGTACTCTGTTGGAGAGAAAGGTGTAAAGATTAGCACAGCAGTAAGTAAGAAGACTAGTGGTTTACAACCATCCTAGTTGCTCTGTGAGGCTAACGTCAATGTGCCAACAAGCTCACAATGTCAGTGCTAACATGCTGATATTTAGAACATAACATCCTCAGTGTGTTAGCATGCTAACATTAACTAAGAAGAACAAAACACTATTCAGCTGAGGGTGATGGGAATGCCATCAGTTAGGCAATATATTGGACAAATTTTAACCTGATGATGGTGCTAGATGAAAACTTATTACAATTCATCCTCAGTGGAACAAGAGTCCAATACTTGTTGAGACGTTGAAAAAATTTTACAGATGTTAACCTTGTGGTGGCTCAAGTGGAAAAACTAACAAAACATCTAGTAAACATGAATGTCTGTACAAAATTTCATAGTAATCCACTGAACAGTAATTGAGATAATGAAAGTGGCTGAGAACAAGAGCGCTGCTCACCCAGGAAGTACCAGGCCAGTGTGGCTCCTGCGACAATGAGCATAATGATGATGATGATGAGGAAGGCCAGGAGACACTTGCAGGACCGAGTCTTCCTAATGGGCGGAGCCACAGCTTGTGTACCAGCTTCTACCTGTGGAGAGAACAGACAAAAGCTCACTGCAGCCTCTAGAGAATTTGTGCTTTCAGTCAACACACAATATAGCCTCTGAAGCTGCTTTTGAGCTAAACACACAGGTGACTTTTTAGGGTTAGGAGTGTTCAAATCTGCAATATAAAATCCAATCGGAGGTGTTTTTTTTTCATGCAGTGTCTGAGTGAGGGCACATCAGGGCAAACAGGGCACTCAGTCGATGGGTTCCCAGTGGGTCATGTTTAGCCACAGGGTTGTCAGGCTGTACATTTTCTCTCCCAGGGTGAACTCTATCCTCAAACACAACAATATGCTCTAACAAGGAATTACATTTCTCATTTCCCAAAATTAAGCAACTAATGATTTAGTTACATTCCTTATTCCTATTCTTCGGGTTTCTGTCCTTGTTATGTCTACATGATTTACTATTTAAATATTAACCCTGAATTGTTGTATTTTTTTTACTGTTAACCATCATGATTTAAAAACTGTTGTTAAAGACAAGAAGCACAACTGGGATGGTCCAATATAAAACAGCATGTGTGTTGCAGAAGGGAGTCCCTACACACTGAACTATAAAAGACATTCTGAAATAATTTGAACCACCGAAGTCGATGACAGGGACAGATGTACAACAGATGTTGACAGATGTACTCTAACAAAGCAGACATTTTACAGCTGAAACCTTTAGCCTTGAGCTAACAACTTTGAGCTTGAATCAACTCTAGATACAATACCTTTAGTTTTGGTTTATTTGTCATTCAATCTGTGAAGCCATGATGAACCCAGCCGTATGATTGCAAATCCTGTACGGAGGTTTCAGTCTCTAGCAGAGTCTATAATCAACAGTCAACCAAAACAAGTACTCCGTTTGGCCTGCTTACATAGAATTCTGTTAAATACTGGTTTGCCCTAAAAACTTGGTTTGTCATGGAGAAATTAAATGTACTGGGTGATAAATCAGACTGCAAATGCATTTCTGTATTAGCATTACTGACCCCATTCCTCAGAGAAGCACTTGTGACCTCCTGTCCCTGGTCACATGAAACTGACTTCTTAGAGCCGTGTCCGAGCGCCATTGGATCACTCCACATCCTTTGTTCCTTGAGAAACCATTTTCATGAATTTCCAACTTAACAGCTTTTATCAAGCATCTCTAGAAATCACACAACCCGACATGTTGCTCTGACAGACAGAGAACGGCTCCCTCTCTGTTTGTAAGTCCAAAGGTAAAAAGGAAAAAAAAAACAGTCAATATTTCCCAAAGCTCATTTGGATCTGCTCAGTAGTAGGTTAGGAGTTATCTCAAAATACATCCACAAACTCGTAACTGATGGTTTGATCATAAATGCTGTGGAGCACTTTCACATGTGCAAGGAGCAGCACTGAGTCAGGTAGGCAGCAGGTACACTGATGTCACTAATCATCACCTAGCAACAGTGATGCTCCGAGTCAGCTCCCCTGCACAGATAAATCTGATGGGAATAATGTGGGGTTTGGCTATTTACGTACCCAACTCATTTCCCAGAGTTCATTTCACTTTCCATGCAAACATGAAATCCCAATGGGCTATAAACAGAGAGAGAGAGAGAGAGAGAGAGAGAGAGAGAGAGAGAGAGAGAGAGAGCCTGACTTTGAGACAGAGATTTGTGTATTGTGTATGTTACCTGCAGGTTTTGAAAAGTCTTATAAAGACCGCATACAGTTCCTTAAAAAATATTGTCTGTAATGGAGCGTGTCATTGTCAGTTAATGGTAAATATTTTGAAGATTATCATAGAAGTAATTTTTAGATACTTTTCCTCTATACTGTACATTTGATATGTTTACTGTCGGTTCAGAAGAAATAATCCTGATACTTCAACCATGAAGGTGAAACATGAAGATGTCAAGGCAGAACAGTGGACAGTTAGCTCTTAGCTTTGACGTTAGCTGAACATCTCGTCTACCTGCCTCACCCTATCAGTGGCTCCTGTCCTCAAGTCTCTTTCCCCGCGGTGACGCTGTAGATAAATGTAAGTAGCAGTAGCTAACTATCTAGCTTGTTCAATACACTTTACTTTTGTACCGTATGAGTTTCCTAATTAGACTGTGTCAAGTATCTACAGATGAATAATAATCTAACAGTGTTAGCTCATTTCCAACTTTTGCCTTAAGTTTCGCTAACAAACATTAGTTAGCTAAACTGTAAATGAAGGTAGCTAGCTGATAGCACTCCCTATCATTTCCAGTGTTGGCTTAATTGGCATTTCATTACCAATATAAAATGTTATATATTATCTAATTTTACCAAACATTGCTGCTCATTAATGAGCATTGATACAGTGGAGGGTTAGTTATTGTAGAGATACGTTTTCACATCAATATAGAGTTTATTATTTCATTTTAATAGTCTTTTGTGTGACTGTGGTGGTTTGGTTAGTCTTTTACCTTTTTGATATTAACTTCTATAATAGGCACCCCTTTGTTTTCACTCAGGAATTCAGGAGTTTTACTTGATTTGGTAATTAAACAATATTAAAAATGTGTGCTGAAGGCTAATTAGCATTGGTGGAAAGTAATTAAGTACATTTATACTATGTCCATTTTATGCTACTTGGTACTTCCACTCCCCTACATATCAGAGGGAAATATTCATTTGACAGCTTTAGTTAAACAAACGAGGTTTCTGTAGGGACCTTAAGACTTCAGTTCACCGATTGTAAGCAGGTAGATAGTTTATTTCCATTTTATGTAGAATTCAACTCCAGACAATATTATAAGAATTATGTCTCACATTGAGCAAAGTTGTCTTTTTCAGCATGTACATTACATCACTGCATACAGTGTACAGTCAAAACAGCAACAAATCAAGTGACATGGCAGGTGATTGCAACAGGGAACTTTTTGACTGTTCATCCACAAAAACCTTCGTCCTTTTATTGACATTTGCTTTTATTAAGAAGGAAATAAAGGGTTAAAAAGATTTTAAAAAAACAATGTTTAATATAGCTGCCACACCAATATAAATCAGTAAAATTAATATTTATGGTGACCTTATAGCTCTCCTTTAGAGTTTTAGACCTTTAGTGGTGCAATGATGTAAGAGTAGGTCTTTTTGTATTGTTTATACGTCTTGTTGAACACACACATGAGCCATGAGCACAGGAGAGACTCAATAAAACAATTCTTTTGACTGCAGCCTGTACTAACAGTCAGCCAGTGGGTACAGTATCAATGCACTGTTAAAAGAGGAGAAGTAGAGTACTGCAAGCCTGAGTAAAAAGGTCTCTAAACATTCAAAAATAAATGCTGTGCAAAGGCTTTACGAGGTAGGAAATACATTCAACATGTTTGACAAGATACCTTAATGATTAAAAAACATCAAAAAAATAACCTAGCTGTGCTTGGTGGTCTAAGGTTAAGTAACAAATAACACTAACATTTTATGGTTCGGTATAGCTTTTTCCATCAGACACAATCCTCTTATTTCTACAGTCATCAATGAGTCTGACCTCTGACCTCTGACCCCCGATCCTGCTGATGGAATTTAAAAAAACAGGGGTGGACACATAGACTAATGTTGGTCAAATCAGCATCATTGTACTTACAGAGCGGCCATTTTAATGTTCGCCATCGACATTTATGGATCCTTATAAAACAAGTAAAAAATGCCTCAAGAGCCACAGTAACAGTTGATCTTCACAATATTAATCATACAATATCATGGTCTCTACGGCTCTCACAATGAGCAAAACGAAATACACATATTTTTCAATTTTTTCCCCCAATGTTTAAAGGGGCTATTTGTCAGTTTTCTCTGCTGCCAGACGTGGTATCTTGCCAGGAGCAGGTTGTGGTGACTGTCACATGACAAGAACTTCTGCCATTATTGTCTTTATAATACAAATGCACCCTTTGAGCAGCACTACATCCTCAGGGCAAATTGAAGCAACAGTGAGTCATTCTCATAAAAAAATGAGATGGGCTGGGGGTAGCTGGTTAGCACGCTAACTTCAGTAGAAGACATGATAGAGACAAGACAAGAGATTGAGGCAAGGCGTTGCTTTCCACAGCTAGAGAAAGCTCTTGGAGAGTAAAGTAAGTAGTAAATGAGGTTTGATGCTGAACTTGCAACTTTTCTTCTAGACTCGAAAGTAAACAGCTGTTGATGCTAAAACTGCCTATGTAGCAATAGCAAAACTAGCTAACTAAAATAGTTACTTTAAAGAATAAAAAACAAGCAAAACATCATTTTGAAACATTAAAACTGAAAATAGAAGCCATTTCTTTTCTCTCTATGTTTTTATTTTGAAATATTGTCATTGTTTTTGTTTACTTATGTTGTCTCATCAAGCTAAGGAACTCAGCATGCAGGTAAATAAATGATAAATATTCATCATAAATATGTTTTATGAGAGCGCAGGAAAAAAATAAAATCATTAAATCATACCTTCTTTCAGAGACATTGAACACTTAATAAATGTTTAAAATGATATGACGTTGCATACTGATGAGAATGATTAACAAGCATGAGGTTACTGAATGAATCCAGCTGGTCAATAGTCGTCCGTGTGCTTCATATCATATTCTACCTCATTTACCGTTTACTACATACTGCAGAGATATCTGTTTTTAACTCTCTTCCTGTCTCGCTGGCATATATCCATCACCAGAAGGTTCCATTGACCTGGACATTGCCATCAGAGCGATCCCCGCCAGTTTGTGACTTGGACTTGAAGGTTGTAGAGGTTGACTCATATCTGTCCCAGAGAACTTCAAAGGTAGTTGTGGGAAAGAAGACAAGACGCATGGTAAAGTACAGGGAAGAGTCAGAGGAAACTGGAAGCTTGTGGATTCGATGGACTTATCAAAGTCCTCCAGGCTCTCCTCATGACTCAACTGCTCCTCGCTCCCACTACAAACCCCTGAATCCATGCTCGGAAGCTCAGGACTGCAAGGAGGCATCCTCTGGACTTGCTCATAATCAGAACAAACCTGAATGGACCCTTTGCCAAAAAGGCTTCCACTGCCTCCAAACAGCATCTTGAAATCTACTTTTCCATCCCCTCCCTCTCTCTCCTGCTCTTTGCCCTCTGACCCCTCATCATGGCTGTCAGGCGCACCAATGCTATCTGCTTCCAGACTCTCTTGACTAACCTCTTCGCCACTGCACATACCTGAGTCAAGACTCTGGAGCCTGAAGCGCTCGACCGGCGGTTTCTCATAGTCTGAAATGACCTGCACTGGCTCACTGTTGTTGTTGCCTTTGGAAAGCAACTGCTGGATCTCCAGTTCTTTCTTTCTTTCTTCCTCCCTAACCTCTTCTGCAGTTTTACCATCACCCTGACTACCAACAGACCCATTAGGTGTATCAGCGGCACAGGGCTCCACATTCCCTGTGGTGGACGAGGAGACCGGAGGAGGAGCACACAGGTGGGAGTAACTGGGATTGGAGAAGCTGGAACTGGTCGACTCATAGCCGTTCTCGCTTTTCATCTTCTCCAGCAGTGCCGCCTCTTTCTTGCACCGTGTCACAGCATCCACACTGGAGGTTACCTCTACAGAGATGATATCCTCCGGTTTCAAGGAGAGAAAGAGTTCGCTGGTCGAGTGAGGGCTCAACTTATTCTGGAGGAGTAAAGATAAGAGGTGGGGGAGCGAGAGCAGGAATTGGAAAGATTAAAAATAAAGAATAATGATGATTCGTTTTTCTGTCTGGTTTCACATCTTACGTTGGCTGTAAATCTTGCTGTTTCATGTCATGATGTTCTCTAGTGTGCCACAGTTAAAACTGCACCAACTGATATGTTCATATTAACAGCAGATCAGATGATAATGTGTAATGTCAGAGCATGTGATGATAGTGACGAACCTGCAGAGAACTGTACAGTTCCCCTCAGCTTTATGGAGCATTTTAGTGCCTTTCAGCTCATTGTTTTGGTTTTCTGATTTGCAAATTTAGAGACAAATTTTGGTTCACTCTCATTGCTATTATTGCAGCAGTCAGGTGTTTTCAGGATAGAAAACTCTGGTAAGCCTTAAAGAGCTGTTACCGACTGAACGGAGAAGAAAATTGAACATCTAGCTCAAGAGTCAGATGCTTTTCAAAGAAGTTGGTTGACACCAAAACAGAGCAAAACTGTGATTATTTGACTTAATGCTACTGATGCACTTTGTCTCCTAAATGCTGCTTGTGCCTACAACTTACAGCAGCTTTAATATGTTGTAATTGGCAACACATTAAAACAAGTGATGAAAAATCAGAAAAATATTTCATAGGTTCACCTGGAAATTCATATTCTTCAGGGAGGATTTTCTTGGGTCTGGTATGGGCGAACCTTTGATCTTCTTGTAAACCCTAAAAGACAAAATAACATAAACTTTAATCAGAGCTGTCGGATAAAACCTATTTTTCTTGAACACAAAAGACCAGAATAGAAATATCTCTTGTCTTCTCACCAGGTGCCTTTGTCATTCCTCAAGAGTATGACAGCCAGAAAGAAGGCAAACCCTGCGCCTGCGATGATCATGCCCCATATCTTCGCGGCAACACCTGACAAACACAGGACGGAGCACGTCACCCAGATTAGCTAAGAGGTAAACATTCTGTATTTATACCACTGTAAATGACAAATGTGGGTTTTATTCATTCAAAATGCAAATAAGCTTATTTTCCATGTGATATAAGATAAACATCTGTTCCTGTTTGAACATGTATTGTTCATCCAACTGGTTTCCTTCTCAGGAATTTAAAGCAGAGCCATGAATAAATCTCCAGATGTAAAAGCATGTGGTATTGGTAAAATGTTGCTTTTCACTGATCACATTTGTTAAACTAAACCAATTAATTTTGTTCATATTTAACAACATTTACCTGATAGTGGTGGTGGTTTTGGTCTACCTTCAAGTGACTCCCATGATGCAGTGGGGCTCCAGTCACTCCAGGTTGA